AAGAGAAAGAAAGAAACAGAAAAAGAGAGGAGAAAGAGAGAGAGAGAAAGAAAGGGAGATAGGGAGAGAGAGAGAGAGAGGAAGAGAGAGGAAGAGGGAGAGAAAGGAACAGAAAAAGAGAAGAGAAAAAGAGAAAGAAAGAAAGAGGGAGAGAGGGAGAGAGAGAGTGAAAGAGAGAGAGAGGAAGAGAGAGAGAAAGAAACAGAAAAAGAGAGGAGAAAGATAGAGAGAAAGAAGGAGATAGGGAGAGGGAGAGAAAGAGAGGAAAAGAGAGAAAAAGAGAGAGGAAGGGAGAGACGGGAGGGAAGGGAGGGAGAGAGGGAGGGAGAGAGAGAGAGAGAAACAAGGAGATAGGGAGAGGGAGAGAGAGAGGAAAAGAGAGAAAAAGAGAGAGGGAGGGAGAGACAGAAGGGAAGGGAGGGAGAGAGGGAGGGAGGGAGAGAGGGAGGGAGGGAGGGAGGGAGAGAGAGAGAGAGAGGGAGAGAGAAAGAGAGAGAGAGAGAGAAAAGGTGGACCCGAGGATACTTTATGAGTTTTTCTGGAGCTAGATGGCTTCATTTCTTCATCGTACTTGTTCCCAGAAGTCCAAACTCCAGTCCTCCTTGCGATCTTCTTTCTAATACTTGGGTGTGGGTGAAGAAGGAACTTAATCACAGGTAAGCAAAGGTGAGCAGAAGGGCTCCATTATCTTTCCCCTCTGTTTTTTCTCTCTCTTTCATTCTTTCTTTTGTCGAAGGCAACAGATGGTTAACTGGGAATCCAATTTGGTTGATATCACAGTTCAACCTCCAATTTCCCCAGCATGACCAAGAATCCCAGCAAGGAACTCCCTAAGGTGATTTTCAGCTGGACCTATTTTTTGGGGGTTCCCCTTGAAAATGTGTTCCAAATCCAAGATAGAAGCTTCTTCCAGTCAGTTCTTCTTCAGGTCAGAACTGAAGAAGCTTCTTGGATGAGAAAGCAAAACAGTTTCAAGGGAAAAAAAAAAACATACGAAAATCCAGTTGCTATTTTGGAAGACAAAATCACCCTTGGGATTGACAATCTCCATACAGATTTGGGAAACTCTTCGCCTATTAAAAAAAAAAATGTGGTTGATTTTCATTTAGTGGTTTGTTTAAAATTTTTACCTGGTTTTCCTAGAAGAAAATTGGAATGGTAGAAAAAATTGAACGGAAGAGATAGGTATTTTATGCCTTGGTCAGGCAGGCTTCCTGCAATTTTGCAAAGGGGCAACAAGTGGTTTTGGAGGCTTAAGCTGGCGGGAGAAAAAAAATGGAAAGAAAAAAAAATACGTGAAGGCAGAATGGATGCAGAAACAGCCAGGAAAGGTTTTCATGGGTTCACACCTTGCAAAAAATGCAGCTGCTTTAAAAAAAAAAAAAAAAAAAGACAGACAAAATATTCCAGTTTCTGGCCAAGAATCTCTTTTGATGATTGGGTTGGATCACAAGGTGAACAATTGTGTCCATTCTCCAGGTTATTTCTTCCAACCCAGAGCGAGAAATGCAAATTTGACAGCATAGTCGCCGTGTTTACCACCTTGACTTACAAACAGTTCATTTAGTCGTACGTTGAGGAGGTAGCCGTACTTTTTTTTAAAAAAAGGGGGGGGGATCTGGCTGCATGATCCCTCCCCCTGTAGTGAGACTCCCTACTTCTTCTTCGCTGACGTTCAGGAAAAGGAACGGATACCGAGGGTTTGAACGGACTAAGAAAGAGAAGGACGGAAAAAGATCCTTCTGTTTGTTTATATGAAAATGCTCAGGAGTTTTTACTGTTTGCACGTGACCCTGGGGCTGTATGTGTGTGTGTGTGTGTGTGTGTGTGTGTGTTGTACCTACGTACTGAGTGATCTTGCCTGATGTGTTAGTGCCATTTGTGGAGAGCAGCAAAGAGTGAACACGCTGCCAAGAAGAAGACTGGGTAAGTTGTTGGCCAGGAAGATCTGCTATTTTTGCAAGACGCTTAAACCGGGTTTATCGAACAGACCGTCTTCTAGTGCATCTTGACGTGGCATTCAGAATCTGGAATCATGTTCTGGTGATCTGAAATAGATTATGCCATCGTTTAAGCTTTCCAAAATGAGGTCTCCAGAGAGGTGAAAAAGATATCGCAAGCAACGAATCTAACCAGGATGGAAAAAAAAAAATGTGCTTTGCTTCACGGTCTAAACCTCACTGCTTTTCGGAAGTCGGAGGTACAAACACTATCTTGTTTGGTCTTTGTTTGACTCATCCTGAAGAATTTCAGACTGAGGAGATTATATTTGAATTTAAGATTTGGCAAGGGGGACCCAACTGAATGGGAATGTCGTTGAACTCTGATGATTGACAGCTTTCCCTGTCCCGTCTGTCAGGTTGTGCTGCGTTTTGGTGAGCATGCCAATCTCTGGTTACACGAGTCCTTAGATCATTGTGTACTTGTCAAATGCAGGATATTAAGAAAGATTTATCTTTCTCAACCATCATTGTTACTAGGGTATACACTTACGGATGTGTTTTTAAAGCAAATCTGAAAAACATTCTGATTTTTCCCCGGGTGTGTACAAATCGAATGCAGGATAAATTATTTTGTTCTGTAATATGCAGAAACGAAACCTTTGCAGCTGCTGGTTTAATTTGCTCTTACAACGGTGACGAAGGGGAGTGTTCTCATTTATGTGTCGGATAAAAATAAGTTGTTGTTTTTTTAAAAAAAACTCTTATGTTCTGTTTGGACCTGCCTTCCCTTTAGCAATTTACAATCCTAACCTAAGCGATCCTTTTCAGATCATCACACCGTTCCGAAGGTTGATATTGTGTGCAGAGAACAGAAAAGAGATGGAAGACTGGATTAGTTCGCTCAAGTCTGTCCAGTCCCGAGAACATTATGAGGTAAACTTGAGACAAGAATAGAATAGAATAGAATGGAATGGAATGGAATAGAATAGAATAGAATGTGGAATGTGGAATAGAATAGAATAGAATGTGGAATGTGGAATGTGGAATAGAGTAGAATAGAATGGAATAGAAATTGGAATGAAAAATAGAATAGAATAGAATAGAATAGAATAGAATAGAATAGAATAGAATTCTTTATTGGCCAAGTGTGATTGGACACACAAGGAATTTGTCTCGGTGCAAATGCTCTCGGTGTACATAAAAGAACAGATGCATTTATCAAGAATCAAAACAAATCAATAATTTGTTTTTTTTAAAAAAAGTCAGGATTGTCTCTTTATCAAGGTGCAGAAAATAGGAAAGAAAAATGTCTGTGTTCTTAATAAATCCACAAAACCCGAGCTGAGCATCGATTGGAGGTTTATATTTAGCCTGTTCTGTTTTTGCTTCGAAAGAAGGAATGTCATGCAGGGGTTTTCGTTGGTTGGTTGGTGGGTTGGTTTGCTGGAAAGGCGAACTTCTCCAGGATGCGGCGATCGTAAACTCTGGTTCATCTCGCAACTTGGAAATCTGTCTTTAATTTTAATTTTTATTTTTAATCAGGCAGCCCAGTTTAACGTGGAACACTTCTCAGGGATGCACAACTGGTATGCTTGTTCCCACGCGAGGCCCACTTTTTGCAACGTCTGCCGTGAGAGCCTCTCTGGAGTCACTTCCCATGGCTTGTCTTGCGAAGGTAAATCAGTCCACACTGAATCCTCATTTAGCACGAAAATGCAAAGTACGAGTCCCTTGTTTAAACGGAGGGGTGATTTTTGTTTGTTGTGTAAATGAATGTCTTCCTTCAGAAGAAGAATAGAATAGAACAGAACAGAAGAAGAATAGAATAGAATAGAATGGAATGGAATGGAATGGAATGGAATGGAATGGAATGGAATGGA